AAACTCACAACAATCCTCCTGCCTCAACCTCCCCAAGTACTGGGATTACAGGCATGCGCCTCCACACCCAGCTGTTGCCACTTTCTGCAGCAGTTCTGCAAGTCCTTTTCTGGAAGTGTTCTCCAGGTATGATCAATAATATGGTGAGTGCTGCTGTGACATGCCCCCAACAGAAAGGCAATTTTGTAAAAAAAAAGTATGGTGTGGCCTTATCTACCTCATTCACCTGATCTGACAACATATGGCTCATGGCTCTTCCCCAAAGTCAAGGACTTTGAATGTTTTGAACCAATTCAGGGCATCGAGGCAGCCAAGAGTGTGCAACTAAAGACATGAAAGGGGTGCTGGGGATTTAGCTCAGCGGCACATTGCCTGCCTGGCAAGCGTGAGGTCATGAGTTCAATCCCTGGTACCGAAAGAAAAAAAAAAAGACATGAAAGGGTGGGAAGAGAACACGAAGGCTATGTGTACGAACTTCCCTCAGAATCACTTTTTCCTTAGAAATCAGTGTGTGATTCAAAAGAAGTAGTACAAATGGCCAATAAGCATATGGAAAATAAAAGGCCAAATTTTTAGCCAGTAGGGAATAAATAGCCATCATCAATAACACTAAAAACATTAATGCTGGTGAGGAGGTGAGGGTCAGGGAGATTCTTCTACACAGCTGGTGGGAATGTGAAGTAACACAGTCACTAAGGAAATCAGTATGGATGCTCCTCCAGAAACTAACAATAGTTGAGCCAGGTATAACTCTCACTGGTATATTCCCAAAAGAATTGAAGACAGCACACAATAGGGCTATGTGTATGCCTGTGTTTATAGCAGTGAGATCCCCAATAGCTAAGCCATGGAAACAACCTAGATGCCTGTCCATGGAAAAACAGATAAAAGAAAATGTGGCATGTATACACAATGGAATGTTTTTTAGCCATAAAGAATGAAATCACGTCATTTACAGGAAAATGGATAGAACTAAAGATCATGTTGTTAAATGAAACAAGCCGGTCTTACCCAGTTAAATAGCACAAGTCACCGGGTGTGGTGGCGCACGCCTCTAATCCCAGCACTCAGGAGGCTGAGGCAGGAGGATCATTGCGAGTTTGAGACCAGCCTGGGCTACAAAGTGAGCTCAAGGCAGCCTGAACTGCATCGTGAGACCCCGTTTCAAAAAGACCAAAAAAATAAATAAATAAATTTAAATAAATTTTTAAAAGTATATATATATATATAGCACATCATCTCATATATGAGCAACCAAAAACAAATAAAGAAAGGAGAGATAACAGAAAACTGAAGGGCAGACTTTAAGAAATGGGAGGAAGATCAGGGGAAGGAGGGAGAAAGGCAGGGGTAGTGGATATGAAAATATGTTATACCCATATACCAGTGTAACAAAACAAAACTCATTATTCTGGATTACAAAAATGTACTAATGAAATACTAATAAATTCAGATAACACAATTTGCAATATTTGTAAATGTTCTAGCCAGAGGGCTGCATGTGTAAGTTTTAAACCCTCCTGCAAAAGCTCAAGCCTGACTTACACTAAAAGATTAAAACTAAGTATTGCTTGTTTATTGATCATTCACTTAGTTGCCAAGCGTAACATTTTGCATTCTCAGTCTGATTTATGAATGATGGAAAGCTAATGCTAACCCACACTCACTCATACAATGATAGCTGAACACTTGAACTTGAAACTGTACACTGTTTTTTACAGCCTTTTGTTTTGTTAGTGTGTGTGTGTGTGTGTGTGTGTGTGTGTGTGTGTTTTGTTTTTTGAGTTTTATGGTTTTGAGTTTGAGTTTGGGTGTGGGTTTGGTTTTTTAAGACAGGCCTCTCAATGTAGTTCAGGCTGCTCTTATGGAGTTATATTCCATCCTGTCTTTTGACTGAAAACCTCCTGACCCAAAAGGTTTTATCCCCAAGTTTTCTTATTATGAGATCTGTCCATGTAAAATTTCTTTTATGTTGGTATTTTAATTGAATACTAAAAAATAATAGTTCACAGAATACAAGATTTAGTGTAGCACATAAAAAAATAAAATGACAATAATAAAAAATATCTATCTCACTCACATAAATTAAGGCAGAGCCCTAAAAATTCAAACCTATGAATATCAGATACTCTGCAGTTGATTTTCCATTTTTGCCCCCCAAAATGCAATAAATTACAAAGTATTAGCATGCAGTGGGGCAGCTTGGGAACTCACCAGACGCATAATTCTCCCCTAAAACACCGAGGCCATTTTTTATCAGATTTGTCTTTCTTGATCTTTATTAACTCTCCCAAAAGAGCTTATTGAAGGCCTACCTTCCTTCTGACCTCAGGGGCTTTCAGCCAGTAAAAGCAAAACAAATGAGAACTCTGATATTCACATACATACAGGGGAAAATCAATAGATTTAATTTTCACATTGAGGCCCACAATTTTCCACTGACGGCCTCAGCAGGTTTTAATGGACACAAACAATTTACTTTTACTGTTTTAATTGTTTTTAGTCAATCACGTTTTATTGCCCCTCTACATCTGACTAAACAAATTAATCGAGCTATATTCATAAATGATGACTTGGTACAATGACCGGTTATGTATATTTTACCGTTTAAGGCTCGATTACAGGCCACGTTACGAAATAGCTGGCCTGAAAAGGCAGCAGGTCATTAAGGCAGAAAGCAACGCAAGTAAGGAGCGATAGGACACAGCGTGATCCTCTGGGGGTAGGGGCATCCCAGGGCACTTCCTGGCAGGACGCCTCTTCTTATCTGAACGCAAAGGGGTCTCTAGTTGTTTGTTGGGAGGAATAGCACAGTCATAGTTACATCAGGGCAAAGGGCTCACCAGCCTTGAGACCCTGAGAGTTGTACGTGCCCTGCTAATCAGAAGACTCGATACAGCCCTGGCAAACCTGAGTGAGACATGCGGACTGCAAGTGTGCATAACACATTCCCTTTGAAATCAGATAAACCCTCCTCACTTTCCAAACGCCTGGAGTTGAAGGCCTTCGCCTCTAAACCAGTCATTCCGCAGCCCTGTATACCTACCAGGCAAGATCAGAAACACCCCTTCTGCCGGAAAAGCTTGAGTACAACACGCTACCTTAAAACTTAGCTTCCTAGGAGTTTCTTCCTGAGAGGCTTGCCAAAGATAATATCTATTCCACCAAAACAATGTTACATTTTAACTCCTAGATCCGCTTTGATCGCAGAACCCAGCCTGGGGCTTGATTCAAATCATTAGTGAAGGTTAATCAATTCTAGCTGTCCTGATGGTTTATAGAAGTTTTCTAGAGCCACCACCAAAGTGCTTTGAAACTTCAAAAAGTCACAGCTTCTTGGCATCTCACTAGAGAACTGCCGTATCATCATGGGTTTGACTTGTGCACATTCAGTTATATGAATCATCCCAAGAAAATCAAAAGGGGGCGGACAGAGTAAAAAATAAAAATAAAAAAAGGAAACAACTCAAGTGGTACAAGTGATTTTCCCTCCTATGCGTTGATCAGCATGCACCTTGGGAAGAACACGAGATGGGACATATGATTCAGCTGTCCCCATAGCTCCCGGAAGCTCTGAACCCACTTTAAGCTACATTTGGTTCTCACTAAAGAACCTACAGGTCAGGAGAAGTTAGCTGCTATGTTCCACCAGTAGGCACAGACCCTTGGTTTGTAATAATGGTGCCTTCCTAAGGGACCTCCACAAGGCGGTGGCCCTCAGCAAGCTCCTGAGCACTATCTTTACAACCAATTCCTCAGGGAAGCTGTTGACACCCCAGTGCTAAAGTCCTGCTGTGCAGACCAAAATCCAAAAAGACTCTTCTCTGGCTTGATTTATTAACACATTCCAGCAATCAAACTCCTGAAGTCTCTGACTTAACCCAAAGGGCAAATAATTATTCTTTTAATTGTGATAAATCACTCCAGAGTAGGCAAATATTTGATGCTCAATCATTTCTCCACGGCTCCCAACTGCGACAGGGCAGCTGCTCCATGGCTCCTTTCACTTCTCCCCTGTGACTGAGCACAGGTTTGATTACAGGGATGAGAGGCTGAGAGTGACTTACAGGGTGCGAGCTACTCCCAGAGAGCACGCGGTAAAAGCAAAAATTTTTTGGGAAATTAAGCTGCGGCTCTAGATTGACATTCAGTTACAACACATAAATCAGAAGCCTTTCTAGAATGTGACAAAGCTGTCAGAGAAGACAATACTGATTAGAGGACCAGCACGTGTCCCCAAAGTGCCAAAAGAAGCAAGTATGCTGGGGAAATTAGTTGCCTGCTACGTCCTCCTTTCTAGAGAATGGAGTTTTACAGAACATCAAGGAACTAGAGCATTTCTTCAGGTTCCACTCCTTACTAGCTGTGAGACCATATTCAAGTTACATGAATGACCTGTGCCTCAGTTTCAAATGTGTAAAGTGGAAATAGGCATAGCACTTACTTCTCAAGCTTGTTGTTAGGGCCTAGTAAGTTTATGTAAGTATTTGTTGTATAAATGAATAAATAGATGTTAGTTGCTATTATCACCACTCATAATATCACCTTCCCTACTAGGAAAGTCAGAAATATAGAGATCAAAGTGTTACCAATTGGCTGAGAGGTCTTTTGCTCAATTTGGATAGAAATTGTAAACAGACAAGGTCTGGCTCCCTCACTGAGCTTTGAGGGCCAGTGACTCTAAGCTCGTCCTGTTGGCAGCCCTGACCCTTAAGGGGCAGCAGCTCTAAGTTCCTGGTGTTCAGAGCTCTCCTGGTTGTTCTCCTTGCGGCCACAGGCAGCAGTCCCTGGCAGCTCTCCACTACTCTCAGTTGCTTGCTGCGTTACCAATAGCACCTGCTGGCCACCTTCTGTGCCAGAGCTTTTAGCGTTACCCTACCACGGTGCACCCAACGCAGCATACTCTGCTTGAGATAGAAATCACAGGTAGGGAAAATGAAACCACCCGAAAGCAACTTTTTATTAGGTTTTCTGTGTAGCATTGGTAGGGCAGCACAGGGATGAAGGCTGATCCAGACTGACCTGACTAAGGTGAGAAGTGCTAGTATATGGACAACAGCATGGATCCTCACCTGCAAAGTCTCCTCCTGCTAACCACAGACTTTTGCTGAGTTAAGGCGGCCGATGCAAGTATACTAGCCCACCTGCCCTGGCCTTAACGGGTAAGGGAGAGGCTCTTTGCAGACTGGAGTGGGGCAAAGTCAGAGGGGCAAAGTCATCCAGACAGGCTGTACAGCAGAGTCATCTGGAACCATTTCAGGCCATCTGAAGCTGCCATAGTCTCCTGCAAACATCTCCTGGAGCAGGCAGGTGTCTTAAGAAGCCACATCTGGAGCACAGGGTTCTGGAGCAGCCACAAGACATTTGGTGGCTGTCACAGATTTCAAAGATGGAAAGAAGAAAAAATAAAAAGTACCTTTTAGGGAGGGTCAGATTCTCCTCCTCTGCCTCAGCAGCATAATACAGGTAGCTAATACTCAGTACTTCTAAGTACCCAGCCCAACATGGCCAAAGTTCTTCCACTATGCAATATCCCTGAGTATTCAATGTCCCTGGATGGTAAGAAGCTGCACTGCCCCTTTCTGTGCAGCTTCCTGAAGAGCTGTGATGTCTCAGTCTTAGCTATAAGGAAGATCAAATAAAGTAAAAAATTTAACTGTGTTTAGGAGGATGTTTGATCTGGGTTCAAATAACCTAAGTAAAATAGGAAAGCCCAGCTCTTAAGACTTCTCAGCACTGCAGTTGGGAACCTATGGTGATGTCTCAACTGAAATTCCAAGGGTTATTAGTGACTCATTCAATCACACCATATAATAAAAATGAAAACGGAAGCCCGGATCACAATGACACCAGGTCACTGAAGTATAGCTACATGAGACATGTGCTACTAGTCATGGCCCGGGGAACTCCAGCAAGAAACCCACAGTGAAGAAAGCAAAAAACTATATCCTGTTGACTGCACGTCCTAAAAGACAATACAGAGGTTACTCCTCAACACTACTCCATTCAACACACTTTGCTGAACTGCCTCCCCTAAACTCTAAGGAGAAGGTAACTACCTGAGGGACACGGTTGCAGCTCCTATGAGATCTTCAGCTTGCAGACTCGTGGTCTCAGTACCTAAGTATAAAAGAAAACTGTATCATCCAATTTCATTGTTTATGAACAAAGGAAATGAACTCTGACTGGAGGAATAGGACTTAATTAGGATATCTGAGATGGTTTGCAAAGATGGCTCTAATTCTTACCTTTCTTGATAACCACATCCTTTGCCATGTAATTTTGCAGAACCCATATGATTGGGTTGCACTGCCCCTCCTTGGACAGTAGGCCCAGCTGTGTGACTCACTTTGGCCAATAAGAAGTTAGCAGATGTGATATAAGCAGTGGGTTCAAATGGACCTGTAGTAATAAGGGACAGTTAAAAGACCAAGATTGTAAGAAAAGCTAAAGGCATGTGCCCAACAATACACTGCCTACAAGAAACATTCACTTCAAACATAAATCTTGGAAGCAAGCCTACATGTCCATCAGTAGAAGAATGGATAAAATAATGTAGTATTTGTACCCAATAGAGTATTACTGTGCCATAAAGAATGATAAACTTAAGTCATTTGTAGGAAAAGGAATGAAACTTGAGATCATAATGTTAAGTGAAATAAACCAGATATATCAGCTTAAATATCACATGGTTTCTCTTATATGAGAAACCCAAAATACAAATAAAGAGCAAACTAAAAGATGGATAATAGAAAAATGAAGACAGATCTTTTGCAAAAGGGAAAGGGACCAAGAAATGGAGGGAGAGGGAGGGAAAAGAGAGGAAGAAGATGAAAAAAGAATTAAGATGTGTTTTATACATGCACCAACTCCTCATGAGGAATGTAATCATCAGTACTGCAAATATGTACCAATAAAAATAAAATTTAACTTAAAAAAAATAATGGCACATTTTTAAAGTATATTCATTTATTTTTCATTACTATAATTAAATTTCTGAGACTGGGTAACTTTATAACCAAAAATAGTTTATTTTGGCTCATAGTTCTGGTCCAAGGTCATGGGCCCACATTTGGTAATGGCCTTCTTGCTGGCAGAAACCCTAACACAGCACAAGGCATCACACGGCAAGATGCAGGGTACAAGTTTTGTCTCTCTTGCTCTTTTATAAAGCCATCGATTCAGTACTGGGAAATCCACCCTGATGAGCATTTCTAATCCTATTCACTCTCAAGGGTCTCACCACCTTAAACACTACAGTCAGATTAAGTTTCCATCCTCTTGTTACCTCAAATTCAATACATGAACCTATGTAATATTAAACTGTACAATAACCATAGCAGAAAATAAAAGAATGAGGAAGGATGTGTCAGGCTAATAATAATTATTTTAAAAATCAGTAATGTGTATATTAACTTCAAATAAAGTAGACTTCAGAGCAAAGAAAATTATAAATGACAAAGAGGGCTATTGCATAATGGCAAGCCAATCAGTTCACCAAAATAGCATAGTGATCCTTGATGCATATGCACTGAACAATAGAGTTTCAAAGCACATGGCTATGGTTTGAATGTTCCCCCTGACAGTCATGGATAGGAGATTTAATCCACAATGCGTCACTGCTGGGAGGTGGAGCCTTGGGGAAATGTTTAGGTCATGAGGGCAGAGCCAGCATAAATGGATTGATAATGCCATAAAAAGGCCTGTGATCATGGGCTCACTCTCTCTTCCTTTCTTCCTTCTACCATGTAAGGACACAGTGAGAAGGTCCTCACCTATGCCAGAACTTTGATCTTGGACTTTCTAGTCTCCACAAATGTGAGAAACAAATTTCAGCTGTTCATATATTACCTAAGTATTATATTCTTTATGAAATAATTAGATATTCTGTTACAGCAGCAAAGTAGACTAAAATACACATGAAACCAAACTGATATAAATGATATAAAAGAAATACACAAGTATATAATTATCACTGGAGATATCAACACTCTAAACTGTTAGATACAAAATAAGCAAAAATACAGAAGAACTGACAATATCAAGCAACACAAACTTATTGCTGTTTGTAAAACATTCGACAACAACAGCATACATATTCTTTTCAGGTACTGCTGGAAGATTCACAGCAATAAACCATACTCTGTATCACAAAGTAACTTCCAACAAATTTAAAGGAAGTCAAATCTTGGAGTTTTTGACAACCAGATGAAATTAAGCTAAAAATTAATAACAGAAAGAAAAAGGAAAATCTTCAAATACTTGGAAATTAAGTATCATGGTTTTACACAATAAAAAGATCAAAAGGGAAACCTCAAAGGAAATCTTTAAATGCATAAACTAAATGAAAATTAAAATAGAACATTTAAAAGTATTTATGACATAGCTAAGAGGAAATTTTGGAAATTAACAACTTATACTGGAAAAGAGAAATTTTGAATCAATACTCTAAATTACTATATCAAGAACTAAGAAAAAATAAAAACTGTTATAGTTTAGGTCTAAAATGTCACCCAAAGTGCCATGTTTGGAGGTGGGGCTTTGGGTAGGTGTCCGAATCATGGGGTTGCTATACTCATAATTGGATGAATCCATTCATGAGTTTATAACTGATTTTGTTGTTCAGAGGCAGCACCTGGTCAGTATAGTTGGGTCAGTGGGGAGAGGGGGAATGACCCAGAAGGGTGTATTCTTTTCCCTGGATCCTTTCTGTCTCTCTCTGTCTCTCTCTCTCTCTGTTTCCTGCCTGCCTTAAGATGTGCAGTTATCCTTAGCCAGGCTCTTCTACCATACCATTTCTGCCTTGTAGCCAACTGAATTTGGACACAAGCACTGGAAATTGTGGGCCAAATTAACTTTCCCTCGGGGCATAAACTTGGGTCCAGCAGATCCATGCTTTACTTTTCTACTGTAAATTTGTATTTTAGCATTAATCAGCCAACTGTGCATCTGTATATCTTTCCCTGAAGGATACAAGAAGCATTATATGTCTTTACCCAATCAGTATCAATAATGGACAGCAAGGAGTGTCCATGTGTGCAAAAGTGTCAAAACAGTATTTGAACTCACTTTTATGTAACTGGTTTTGTATATGTTTATCTGAACACCACAGAGGGTCCAGTAGACCCACACCACTCTAGGGCTTGCTTAAAAAAGTTTTCTTTTGATTTTTCTGTAGAAGTAGCTCAATTCAGTACAATGGCACATGAAAAAACAGATGTGCAAGTATTGGAGGAGGTCAAAAGTGAATCATCAGCTTACTCATGCATGAATGATGAAGATAATCCATTGTGGTAAAATACATGTTTTCATAACAGAAGAGTGGTGTGGGTGTATGATTATGATGATAATGATGACTTTGACATTGACCATGTGAGTCAAAGTTCCTATTGTTATAGCAATTTTAGGTTCACTAAAGGCAAAGAGTCACCAGTCCAAGACAGAAAGGTGCCAAGGGTGACAGTGCATGCAATTATTCTCTCACAAAGGAGAGTTCTCCTGTGAATTGTGTCCTTACGCTTCTGTCTTGTATAGACTAGTAAGCCTCCAGTGTGACTAGAGCAGGGCTGTTGTCTCTTGGTGGTATCTCTGAGGTCATGCTGTGTCCTGGTAGTTCTCATCGGAGTCGGGTCTTTGGGGAGGTCTGCAGGTCAGTATGAGCAGTATAGATGGCTGAAGAATCCTCCAGGTAAGCCTTTTCCAGACTCAAATGGTGTATCCAAAGGATAATACAAGGATTCAATAGTGATACATGTAATCCTTGTATCACCCCCAATGCTATATCCAAGGGGAATATCACCTCCATCAGGTGATAATGCAAATTGAATAGCAACTGGGGTGACAAGCACAACAGTGTAAGTTGGATAGTGCCCTATCCATATGGGCAAAAGGATTCTTTTTCTAATCTTTTACCCAGACTGAATCTTCTGGTATGAATGAGTGTGCCAGTCTACCTGAGGAGATTGGAATTCTCTCTATGACAGTCTCGTGAATGAGAGAGAATACCTTTCCCAGTGCCTGTAGCTCAGCAGACAGGCTAGTGTGCCCTGACTGTCTAACAGCTCCACTGAAGGCTTTGATTATGGGAGGAGGCCTTCCAGACAATATCTCATAAGGGAAGTAGCCTGAGGGTCCTAGTGTGCAGCAGACATGCAACAGGGCTAGGGACAGCATATTAATCAAGGACAGGTGACTCTCCTGACAAAGCTTAGTTTGAGTGGTCTTTAGGGTATGATTCATGTGTTCTACTTCCCCTGAACTTTGTCATCTGTAAGCCATATGAAGGTTTCATTTTATCTTTTTTATCATTTTATCATTTTCATTTATCATGAGAGCCTGAGTAATCTCTGCCACAAAGGCCAGTCTCTTGTCACTTCCAACAGTGAGGGTCTGGCCATATTGAGGGATGACCTTCTACAGCAGAACCTTCACCATTTCTCAAGTTTTTTCCGTTCACATAGGTATGGCTTCTACTTAGCCCAAGTAGGTACAGACAAGGACTAGCAGATACTTATATCCGCAGCATGGTCTGATTTCTGTGAGTCTACCTCTAAGTCCTCAAAGGATAAGGTTCCAGCATGTTGCATTCCTGGAGTGGGCCAAGGGCATTGGAGAGGATTGTTTTGGGCACAGGTTTGACATCAATTAGCAATTACGATGCAAAGAGATGACAGCCAGGACACATAGGGATACCAACCTGGAAGCATCTCTAGTGCAGTTTTTCTGCAGTGGGTGAAGCATGGTGGTGTTGAATGAAACAGTGGGCCATTCCTTGAGGAATGAAAGTCCTCCAATCCAGTAGGACCACCTCATTCCCAGAACTTTGTGAGCTCCTTCATTTTGAGCCCATTGATTTTCTTCTGAGGTGTATTGTGGTGGTTCCTTAGGCCGGTCACATGTCAGCAGCAATTTGGGATCTCTTCAGGGTCGAGGTGACCTATTCTGGTGTGCAGCCTCTTTAGCCAACTGATATGCTAATTGATTTCCCCCTCATTATGTCATCTTGTCTTTTTGGTGTTCCCAGCAGTGTATGATGGTCACTCTCTTCAGTTGCCAGCTTGCCTCTAGAAGTTGGAATATTTCCTCTATTTTTTTTTATTTCTCTCCCCTGGTCCCTGCCATCAGTAATCCTCTCTCGTTGTATATAGCCCCATGTACATGAAAAGCATATCTGGGGTCAGTGTAGATGTTTACAGTTCTTCCTTGGGCCCATTGGAGAGCTTGAATGAGGGCCTACAATTCAGCCCTCTGTGCTAACCATCCCTTTGGGAATGGTCCAACCTCTATGACTTGGTCCATGGTGGTGTCAGCCTCTTTGATGAGGACAACTGTGGCCACTAAGGCACAGAAACATGGGAATCTTCCTGCTGCTACAGTGTCTGATTGTTTGGATAGGTATGCCACTAGCCTCTGCCAGGGCCCAACTATTTGAGTTAGAACTTCAAGTGCAACATGGTCTTTCCCACAGATGAAGCGATTGGACTCTCGGCTCATATCTGGCAGTCCTAGCAGGAGCATAACCACGTAGCTTTTTGATCCATTTGACAGCCTTTTCCTGTTACCCCTCAACTTGGGGGTCTTTTCCTCCAGCCCTGTCAAGGCCTAGTAGAGCAACTTGACCTTCCCAGACAATCCTAGTATCCAAATACAACAGAATCTGGCTGCTCCCGGGAACCCTCAGAGCTCTTTCTTTGTATCCTGTATCCTAGAGTAGTCAAAGAAGGGCTCATATCCTTTCCCATTCATCAACATGCTAGAGCAAAACACAGTTCACCTGGTCTCCCAAAAAGGTGACCAAGTCAGCAGCTGAAGCTTCCCCTGAACAGGGTGGGAAGTTCTTAAAGCCTTTGGGGGGACTAGTCCAAGTCAATTGAGTTTTTCATCCCGTGTTGGGGTCCTCCCATTCAAAAGAGTGAATAGAGGGTGGCTTTGAGGGGTCAGGCACAAGCAGAAGATGTCTTTGAGATCCAAGAAGATGAACCAGGTTACCTCAGGTGGAAGTAGGCTCAGCAATGTGTAGGAGTTTGGGATGACTGGGTGTATGGTAACAGTGGCATTATTGACTGCTCAGAGGTCCTGTACTGACTGGTAATCCTTTCTACTGGGCTTCTTAAAGGGCAGCAGAATGGCATTCCAAGGAGAACGGCACTTTATCAGGATCCCCACCTACTTCAATCAGTTGATGTGTTCCAGGATTCCAATCTGTGCTTCTCTAGGTATGGCATATTGTTTCAGCCTGGTAGGGATTGTTCCTTGTTTGGGCTCCACCAGTACTGGGGCCCAATTTTTAGCCAGCCCAGGTGGGAACTTTTTGGCCCATACCTCTTTTATGCCTCCAACAACAATGAAGGGTTCAGTTCTTTTCAATCCACTGTATGCATTCTCCATTCTTCTCTGGGGACTGTGACTGACAGGATAAGGTTTTCCTGGGTGATGAAATTAGGTCCCTTAGGTGCAAAGGTTATCTGGGCTCTGAGTTTAGCTAGCAAGCCTCTTCCCAGTAGGGGAATGGGGCACCTGGAGAATTGATAGTTATGTGGAGCTCAGCCACCAAGAGGAGGCTCATCTGAGGGACCAGGAGGTTTGGCCTCATTCACCTCTGAATTCAAGGAGGTCACTTGAGTGGGGGGGGGGTCTGATGGGGTGGACTATCTGGAAGGGCTGGTGGCAGTGGTGCAGGTGGTGGTAAGGAGAAGCAGAGTGGAGGGAGGACCTCTTCATCAGGGTGCCCTGATATACTGGTTTTTTAGAGTCTTTGTTGGACTCCCAGAACCTCAGACAACAAACACCTGACTCTGTCCCTTCCTTCCTACGCAGAATCACACCCATAGAGGAGAAGCTAGGCAATCTCTAGCCAAGAGTCTATCTATGGGAATTGGTCGGGTGACCAGACACACTGGTCACAACTTGCCAAGCTGCTTGAATCAGGGAAGGGTCTAGACTTACCTCTCGTGGCCAGCCAACATGAAGGCAGGGCCAGCCTATCTCACAGAGGGTCCAGAGTTTTGGTAGTTTCATTTGTATACCATAATCACCATTAAAACTCTTTTTAAAATTCTTATTGCACAGTCTAAGACAGTTGGTTTACTGTTTGTGGCTCCCATATTCTAAGCTTCCTGCCTGGTGTTCGGTGTTGCAACAGATAAGGGTGGGATTCCCCAAGAGGAGACCACTCAGATGCCCACCCGGCTGTGCCCCCTGCAGAAACTCAGGCATGTCTTGGCTAAGGTATACCCGTATAAACCCAGGCCTGGTCAGTCCCCTTTTATGGGGGATGAATCACCCACCATTATGCTATATGACATCACCATAGAAACGCAGGTTAGGGCCCACTCAGACTCTGTAGCTTGCAGTGTAGAGCCACAAATATGCCCACACTTACATAATCACTCAGGGGTTAAAACCATTCCTCCTCTCCTTATGGAAATCCATGACTGGGGTTTCTAGTATGAGATGCTGGGAGGTGATCAGTCTCCTTTTCCATCTGTGGGGAAAGGCCTGACTTGGGATGGAGGCCTTGGGGCCTTACCTTGTCTAGAAGCCCTGACAGGGAACTTGTCAATTTCTCCACCGAGTCTGGTTAGGAAGACATTGGGGCACACGCCAGTCCTGTCCTCCTGGGGAAAGAGGTTTCATGCTGTCCCACTCTCCAGGGAAGGTATACAGCAGGTGCTTCCCCAACTCCAGGCTGGTGGCTCAAGGGTCCAGCACACTTAGTTCCTGGTTAGGGAACCAAATGTTACAGCAATTTTAGGTTTACTAGAGATAAAGAAATCAAACAGCATTCAGAGAAGTGGAGGGAACCAAGTTTTATTACGCAGGTAGACTCAGAGGAGCTGCATACTCCAAAGTCTGAGCCCTAAGCTAGTGTAGAAATTTACTTTTATACTGTTTACCAGGCAGGCCAGAGGGTCTTTTGTGAGTGAGTGGAACTTTACAAACGAGGGAACAAACTGGAAACAGTAACAGGTCGGGTACAGCTTGTACCTCTGGTACAAGCCTGTTTACAGAAGTGGAAGAAACAGTGTACACTATTAACATATTTGGGTTTTCAAATATTTTGAGCACAAAAGTTCTTCTACAGTGTGACGGTGAAATGGAGCAAGAATCAGTTAACACAGACACAGGGAACGCAGACCTCCTTGATTCAGATGACAAAGTCATGATGTGGGTATATATTTGATTAGTCAAAATACTGTGAAATGGCTGTGCAGTCAAATGGCATGATCCAATGTTAGAACTAGGTCCAAAAATATAGCGAAGGTCTGGTGGGGGTGTAATGTATTAGGCAGAACGCCAGCACTGCCATTTAATGTTGGAAATTGTAACAGATAAATGCTACAAGATGCTGTGAAATGCACAAAGGATGAAATGCAAGGTATAGAACAATCTTTGAATTTCAGAAAGATATAACATTAACCTTGTATATGGCAAAGAAAAGCAAACTGGTACTGCTGATATCAACATTTTACCATGATGGAAACACTGATAGGGAAACCTCAGCAAAACGGAATCCTGAGATGGAAACTTTCAACAACAAAACCAAAGGTGGAGTACATGTGACTGATGAGTTACGCAGCAACTATGATGTCACTTGAAACACAAAGCACTGGCACTGTGTTTTACTCAATCCTAAACACGTGTAGCATAGTTTGATAGTTTATGAATTTAAAAAAAATTGCAGGGGCTGGGGATTTAGCTTAGTGGCACAGTGCCTACCTGGCAAGCGCGAGGTTGTGAGTTCGGGTCCTGGTACTGGAAAAAAAAATTGCAAAGTATAACAGAAACTTTCTTAGAGGATTGGGACTGGAGCTCATAAGAGATCATTTACAGCAAAGGAAAAGCAAAATGTTTCTGCCCAGGAAACTACACAAAAAAATTGTGGAGCATATTGGTGAGCTGACAGCTGAACAAGCAGGTGCAGCAGCGAAAAGACCTACTACGCAACGGAAAACAAAAAAGGTGTCCAGGGGCTGGGGATTTAGCTCAGCGGCACAGCGCCTGCCTGGCAAACACAAGGTCATGAGATCAATTCCAGATATCGAAAAAAAAAAAAGATGTCCACTATGCCCTACAAGAAAATACAGGAAAACAAAACATACATACTATCAGTATAAATGAGACATGTGCATGGAACATGCAGTTGTCATGTGTGAAGTCTGCCTTGGGTGTGACAGTTGAAGCAAAGCATATTTTAGTGGTAGAGTTCTATTGTAGATCTCATTGTAGCTACTATAGGAATTTATTTTTGATGTTTTAGGTTTCATAAGCAAGTACACAGCCGATGTGAAAATGTTGATGTCTTCTAAATGCACAACACATATTAAGCATTTAATAATTTATTTCTTTGATATTTTATGTTCCTTTTAACTACACACTATAACATAATAAGAGCCACCTGACAAAACAGTAAGACCACTGAGATGTCAAGTATGTCCTACAAAAAGGCCAGGAAAGGAAAAGACATGTGCTGTCACTGAATAGCACATTGCATGTGTATAGGAGGTGTTCATGTGTGCAGATGTTTTTAGTTGTGATAATTGAAGTAAAGTTTTTCTGAAGGATGCTGTTGGTATTTTCATTGTAGTTCATATGGAATTTATTTCTGATGCTATTTTTCAGACTTTGTATCCTAAAAACCAGTAGACTTGAAAATTTTGATGCTTTTTTATAAACATTCAATGAATATTAAAAACTCATTACTTTATTTTGTGATTTTATTTCTGTTAAGTACTCACTGTTTAATATAATAAAATTCATAACATTAAAATTAATAATTCATCAATAGAAATAGCCTAAAGAATAAATGTGGATCCAACAGACCCATGTTTATGTACCTTGATGACAAAATTAGTCTCCTGCTTCAAGGGCTATGTTGCAGGTGTTAGGGATTTTGGTCCAGCAATGAGAAAATGACAAATACAAAAACACCAAGCAAACTTAACAAAGAAAATAATAATGATAATTTTACCAAAATTGGTAAAATTTAAAATGAGAAGAAAATGGAAAAACCTAGTGAAATCAAAACTGGTTTTTAGGAATATAAATCAACAAAAATAATAAACTTTTAGCAAAACAGAACTATAAAAAAGGAAGAGACAAAAATTATCAAACAGTAAGTCTACAACTTAGGAATGAGTTCCATTCCAGGAGAACGCTCGTAAGTCAGATTCCTTTGTAAATTGGACAAAGTGAGTCTTATATACCTTTGACACAAACGTAAAATGTAAACCATAAAAAAACCAAACACACACAAAAATACAGTAAGTAAACTATTTTTACTTCTACAGTTACCTTAAAATGGTGGTACAGTGTAATACAACTGTAGATAAACTATTTTTACTTTTACAGTCACCTACAACGGTGAAAGAGAAACATGAGCTACTTCTGCAATTTGTTTGTATCTACAATGTTTATAATGTGAGGTCCATTTGTATTTGTGAAAGTTCACAACTTGAATATTCATAAATTGGCACTTACTGTACAAGAATGAAAGAGATATCACTACAGAACCTGAAGTCATGAAGAGGAGGATGCATGGTTTGAATGTCCCCCAAAACATGTTGTATTTTAATTACCACAGTGATAGTACTGGGAGAGAAGACCATTAGGTGATTAGACTATGCCCTCATGAATAGAAAAATGCTGTTTTCTACAGTGGGTTTGATGTCATGGGATAGCTTTGTTATAAAAGCACTGTCTTCCCATATGTGCATTTGTGTTTGCCCTCCCCCACTCCACACTCCCTTGCTTCTGACCTCTTTTACACACTGTGTGCTGTCTTACCATGTGATGCCTCCTCTCATAATGTGACACAGACAGAAGACTTCACCAGATGCCAGTACCAGGCTCTTGAACTTCACAGGCTGCAAAACAGTGAAAAGTAAATTTCCTGTGGTGCTCTGTTATAGCAACAGAAAATAGATTAAGGCAGAGAATAATAAAACACTAATTTTACTCTCATAAGTATGATAATTAGAAGAAATAGACCAATTTCCTGTAAACTATCAAAACTAACCAAGCTAACATAAATAATATAAGTACTCCTACAATCACTAAAGAAGTTAAAAATGTAATTCAAAATCTACCAATCAAAGAAGTACTCTAGACCAGATGGTATCCCTAGAGAATTTTACCAAACACTTCAACAAAAACTATTACCAATTTTATACAATATCTTTTTCCAGAAAACAGAGGAGGAAGAAATTCCTCTCAGCTCATTTTATGAAGCCAGTATCACCTTGATACCCAAACCAGAGAAAAACAGTAGTAAAGAAGAAATCCACAGACCAATGACTTTCATACTACCCAAATCAAAAATCTTCAATGAAATAATACAAGTAGAATCCAATAATGTATAAAAAAATTATAAACCATAACCAGTAGGATTTATGCAAGGTATATAAGGCTGGTTCAACATTTGAAAATTAATCTGTGTAATCCATCATATCAGCAGGCTAAAAGAGAAAAGTCACAAAAAATCAACTGTTTTACTAAGCACATGTTACAAAATCCAAAACTATCATGATGAAAACTCTCTTCAAGCCAGGAATAAAAAAGATTTTTTATCTCAATTTGATAAAGAACATATACAAAGTCTACAGCTCATATGACATTTAATGGTGCCAGTTTGAATATGTCCTCCCTAATACTAAAATAAGGAAATCTGTCCTCTCTTACAACTCTTATTTAATATTTCACTAGAAATGCTAGCCACTACAGTAAAGCAAGGGAAAATAAAAGACATATAGATTGTAAAGTAAGAAATAAAACTGCCTCCATAGAAACCCCCAAAGTATCCACAAAAACAAACTTTTTAAAATCCTTAGAACTGGGGGCTGGGAGATATAGCTCAGTGGCATAAGCGCTTGCTTGGCAAGTGGAAGGTCCTGAGTTCGATTCCTGGTACCCAAAGAAAAACAAAAAAACTGCATAAAATTCCTGGAACTTAGTAATGTGCTTAGACAATAGGAGAGTAACAATGATTAATACATTGTGTATTGTTATCTTTAAATTAGAGAAATTAGTTTAAATTATCTTTAAACTGAGAAATTAGTAATATAACTATCTTAACTATCATATATATATATTCTTTTCCCTTCCTTCTTTTCTCCTTTCCCCCATCCCAGTTTCTCTTTCCTTGGCAAAGCAAATATGGACACACAATAAAACCATACTAAATGCAACAACTATACCACCATTAACAAAAGAAAAGAACAACAATAGCATAGAGTTAATTAAATATCTAGAGATTGTCTATTATCTTGTTTTGAAATTTGGAGGGTTTGAAATTTTT